TATTTCTCCTTGTTTTTATTGATTGGTATATGCCTCAGGTTTTGACTTCCTTCATACTGTTTGTTACCTTTGAGTGTTCGTTGCTGTCTGAATGGTGTTCAGGAGGCACTGCCAGCATGTTTAATCCACAACATGGTATTTGTGTCTAGTAGTTAAGTCCCTAGGTAGCCATTAGATTTACTTCTGATCTTTACCGACAAAGACACTGCGAAGATGATCCCAGACAACCTTTGGAGATTGTGCTGCATCAATACCATGCCATAAGCCCTTGTTTCGGTAATAGTCGACAACAGGACCTGTTTGGGTATGGAAGGCCCCAAGACGTTTGCGGAGGGTTTCTACATTGTCATCCGAACGCTGAATAAGGGGTTCACCAGTCACGTCATCAGTCATTGGCTTTTTAGGTGGACTGAGGGATTTCATCAGTCAATTGCCCGCGTGACGGTACTGTAACATACTTGAATTCCTTATGATAAGTCCTTCCGCTTGTGGGATGGATCAACCGGCCCGTGATGCGAGAAATAAGTAAAGAATCGTCGATTTGGAGTTGGACGACAGAGTCAAGCTTCTCCTTGCGTTCCTCAAGCATGCTATCTAGTTTTTGAGCTTGGGGTACTGTTCGAGGGAATCCATCAAGGACAAAACTGGAAGAAATATGAATTGAATGACACGAAAGCAACGTCCATCCAAATGACGTACCCGTTTTTGCAAGCCGTGTTATTTTCCAGTTCGCTCTTAATCATGCCCACCATAATATCATCAGAGACAAGGCCTCCGGTATCCATGATTTTCTTCGCCTCAACACCGAGGGGTGTCTTCTTGGCTACCTGATCGCGAAGCATGTCACCAGTCGCCAAATGGCAAATACAAAACTCGTCGCGAATTCTCGGGGCTTGCGTTCCCTTTCCTGCGGGGACAGTTAGCCAGTAAAGACGGTCGGCATTGTATTCGTTGCACCTGCTCCGGGAGGTCCGACAAGAATTGTCCGAAGTTGCTGAGCAGGCGTTTTGGGAGCGGGCTTTGACTTTGCCTCAATGGCTGCGATCTTGTCGTTTAATTGCGCCACAAGGGACTTGAGATATTCAAGCTCATCGGAGGCAGTCATCGCGGGAAAGAAAGGAGACAAAGAATTTTGAACGACCAACGAGGTAACGGCTGGACAAAGCTTAGCGCGTTTGCAAATGAATTTTAGTCGGGCTTTATCGGAGTTTGTATGGAGGTTCGGGACTTTCTATTTGGTTCAGAAACCCATGCCAAGCGCACAATTCCAAAAATATCCAGCTGAGCGCGACCGTGACGTGGAACTCGTGCGCAAGTGCCAGCGGTTGGGAATTTATTGACCTCGACGTCTATCACGGCAAACCGCCAATGGTACAGCTTCGCTCATTATTCCTTCTTGTTGTTAGTCTTGCTACGTGTCTCTATGCCAGGTCTAGCACTGGAGATTCTGTCCTGGTAGTTGTTGAACCAAACAGGCAGGATGACTATTCTCTCTTCTTCGATGGATTGAAGGGTCTGTGAATTACTACAATGCCGCAATGAATTCACTTGACAATGATCACTCTAGAGCAAGGATATGAGCTGACTTTCCGCGCCCCCAAGGCTGAAGGACCTCTCGTCATTGAGCACGATGTCCCCAACTTCGCCCACGTTATCCTTTTGGCATCTGAAACGAAGAGTATGCTATCAATTTCCTATTTAAATAATTATCTTCCTGAATCTTGATAGATTTTGCGAAGGATATCACACCGCAATCTTTTGTACAACTTCTAGGAAAGAAGACTAACCTCATTATCGCCTTGTCCTCTAAACAGACGCCAATGTCATCATTGGCCGCAGAATTTTCACTCACTCTTCCACCTCCTGGCACTCCGCTAGTCTCATACTTCCCAGAACGCGAAGAATCGCCTCAGGTCATTCCCGTTTCTGTCCAAGCCAACTCGATCGTTTCCTCAAATATCAACCCAGTCTGGTTCTCTGGTGTGCCACACTCGATTGGAAACAACCCTATGATCGTACCTATTCTCCGTGCACCGGAGGAAAGCTTTGCCTCTGAAACCGATGGTGGATCTCCTGATTCTCTCGTTGACGCGGCGGAGAGAGGTGGCGAAGGTCTCTGGGCTGGATCCCAGCTTAGCTTAGTCACTGGTTTCCAAACGCTTGACAATTCGCGCGTCACGTTCGTGGGTGGTGTCAATGTGTTCAGCGACGAATTTGCGCAGAAAGAAATATCCAAGTGCGTTTTGTATCATAGTCTGAAGAACCACGCACATTCTGAGCTTCTTTTCTCTCAGAGGTCTTCCTTCTGGAAATGCCGCTTTTGCTCGTGATGTCGCCGCATGGACCTTCCAGGAAACAAACGTCTTTCGTATCGAAAGCACGACCCATCATCGCGTCAATGCAACTGAACCACCAGAGCAATATACCACTAATGATAGACTTGTGAGGATTGAACTAAGGCTACACCTCAGTACGATTAACGACACCTTCAGGTATATAACGCCTATATCTCCAAGTATGATTCGAAAACGTCAACTTGGGTGCCGTATCCAGAGATCAGAGATCTCCAGCTAGAATTTACAATGCTGGATCCACACGTTCGGACAGCTCTGTTGCCAGTATCAAGCAATCCGGGCAAGTATTCAGCCACTTTCCGTGTACCCGACCGGCATGGTGTCTTCAAGTTCGTGATCAACTATAAACGCAAGGGGTACGTGGATTATCTCTATGCCATAAATGCACTACTGATTTGCCTCAATTTTACAGCCTCACGTATCTTACGAGCTCTATGACTGTCCCGGTCGTGCCTCCACGCCATGATGGCTATCCACGTTTCTTGAGTGCTGCATGGCCCTACTATACGGGCGCAATCAGCACGAGTATCGCTTTCTTCTTGTTTTCGGCCCTGTGGCTGGCCGGTGACTCACGCGAAAAGAAGGCAAAAGGGCACAAGGCGGAGTAGACATTTGTGACTCCTTCCGTGTAATAATAATGTGGGAAATTAATTTATGGCCTATACTTGCCAATTTCAAGCGCGCTAATCCTACTTGATTGGTTGAATTACGACATCAACGGCTATCAATTCTAGACTCTCATCAAAACATTTCCGCAATCCGTCTTCGCTGGGCGGTCAACAGTAAGAACTCCCTGGTCGTACTTGCGACGTGACCGCGTCAAATACCAGCCACACGAGATTCTCCGAAGAGAGTTCGAATGGCAAGTAATCTACAATTACCGCTACATCACAACGCACACCAGCACATATCATTGGTGTAGAGCCATTACCTTACTTCACCCCCGCCTCTTAGTCCTGTATTGCAGCTTGCCGGCGGTATAAACAGAGTTCATCCATTCATTCATTCCCTGGTCGTACGTATATCTACGGACATATACTTGCGATTCAATGTCAGCTTCTTTCTTAGCACAAAGTTTGTAGAACTGCACATCGATCGACGATCTCGGAATCGGCCGTCCAAACCTTTTTAAATATTCTGCGTGGATGGTTGTATGTGAAGCAGGTTTGCAAGTAACGCCAAGTGTTCCATTGTCTACCCTCGGAAGACACTGGCGGCGGTTCACTGTAGTGATTTTCAAGAAGTTTTTGCGACCGAAAAAAGGAAAAATGGCTCACATACCCAACACCCCCTATGGACTGTCAAGTGTGGGTCCCTATTGTTGTCGTGTGCACATCAAGGATTAAAAGACCTGTGCCTACATAGAATAACACTGGAAGAATGGAAGATATATGCGAACAGGAAGTTCACTCCAGGAATGGACATCACGAGCTACTGGAGTATCTCATGGCGACAGAAAGTAGGCAACACTGGCTCGAAAAGAAAGTGAGTGTCCTCCATTATACGGGTTGTTGATACAATGTCGAGTTTCAGTCAGCGCTGGTCCACTCACAGGTGGTTTACTTAGCTGCAGAAGTACGTCAGAACAGATTAGCGGCAATCGACAGATCTTTTCCCCATATACCGTTTGTGGAGGATGGATTCGAATCAGCAATGTTAACGCTGAAGAGTCATTCTGATATACAGCTGCTGATGCTGATGTTGCCGATGGTAAGGAGGATGATCATATTTTCGCCGATTGAATTTTCAACAGGCGCCTTGTTTTTGTAGAATGTAACACAAGCTAAAAGGCACTGGTTTGATTGATTGATGAACGGTTCAACTCACTAATTACTCCGATGAATAGATTGTATCTCCTTCCACAGCCTCCTGCTTGCATGCCCCTGTAAGAAATATAGGCTGTGGTATATTTTGGTGCAATCTAATCAGCAAATTGTGATCATCAAGCTACATCCCTTCCTGTGGTCGCTCAGGGTACTGTTTTTATCCCCTCTCAGTACCGCAGGAGTGTTACTTTGAACTAGTCGTACAGGGCAGTGGAAGCAAAGTATACCCGTCCCAAATTACTTTATTTCTCAACTCAATTGCTCGATAGTGGTGTTACCTCGGCACATATATCATTTCGTCTCTTCCAGAACATCCAATGGCGCTCTCTGAATGGATGATCCTTGATGACCAGGTTAGTTGTATCCTAAATTCTTATCCGTGACGATGGGTCCAACTGTTCTATCAACTGGCAGACTAAAAAATCACACTGCGCACGCCTCACAGCCCGCCATTTTGACAACAATCACCCACCAATGTCAGCTGACTTGGTCAAAGAGCACTATGACAGTGGTCGTTGGAAGATCCCGTGTTTCGTTCTACGCTGCGTTGGATTTGATAAGGAATTATGCCACACCATTCACACAACTGTTCACCAGATTCATGCTCTTGCTATTCATCAAACTCATGATCCAAGATAGCCCTTTGCAGCCATAAAATCATGTAGAACTCATGAACGTATGGATTATCGCTTGCAGACTGATTCCACGCAACGATATTCTAGATATTAGCGTAAACAATGTCTGAAAAAATCAGTACACCATTCGAGATAAAACAAATGAAAGGGACAACCGAAAAATAAATAATACGTACACTCCCATACTCTTCGCCTGGGAGTCGAACCCAGCTTTCGCGCGAACCTATATTCATGACAGGCGCGTGTACTAACCGATATACTAGCGAAGAATTACTTCATATCGGGATCTCCACTATATGTATATACCAGATCTGGAAGGGACAAGTAACGACTGATAGTCGATGCAAAGGACAAAGCAGTATCCACTACAAGAAGCCCCCTCCTACCAAAAAACTATACAATCCGTCCGAGCGTTCATATAGAAGGGGTGGCCACCCGACATACCATTCTGCGGGATATTCATAAGAGTGAACACCTTGGACAGCCGAACCTGTCCTCTACCCAAGGTATTCAGCTTAATGACTGATCCACTGAGTTTGTCGCGATCCGCCTTCTAATTTCTTTCGAAAGCAATAAGTTTGTCGCGGTCCGCCTTCTAATCTCTTTCGAAAGCAATAACATTTTTCTCAAAGTCAGCTGCAATGACTGGGTAATGGTCCCCAGGGAAGTTCACAATCTTACGAGAACAGGGAACTGTGATACATCGTGGGGAATGATCATACCATAGATAGTGTTCGGATTTTCGGTGACAAATATGAACTGAGTGTGAGATGGGCTGATTGATGTCTCAGATATCCAACCCGCGTTGCGATGACCTAGTGGGCAGGGAAGCTGCCAGCACGGTAAGATCGAATGTGATACTGCATCAATCATCAGGGAACAGGACACTCAACGATGGTTTCTTCCAGGGAAATGACCTGTTTACAATATAAGGTCGATGTCGTACTCATCCAAAGCAAAGATGTCGACATGACAAGAACCATTTCCTTCGTGCATGATTCGTGCCACCAAATCGTTGCGCAGTGTAATGTTTGGTGCTCGTGATAAGCTACTGGCTGCTTTGAAAAAACGAAGAGGACGGGATTGCAGGTATGCTTCGCGACCTCGTCCGGTTATTGAGACGGCCAAGATATGTATGAAATCATCTCTGACTGTAGTAATGAAGATGAGATAAAAGAATAATCTCAAAGCTAATTCTTACAGGGTTGAAGTTTTGAGAGATCGCTACATTGAAAGCGAAGTTTGGCGAGTCCGTGTCAATAGAGATGAACATAGATTGTATTCTTTCAGAGCGAGGAAGTTTCGAAAGAGGCCTTTCTTGAACTCAAGGTGCATCTAAATTGTGTGCAATGAGAGTTCTAGTCAACAATCATTGTCCACCTGGGACAAGACATGCCTAAGTCACTTGTGTTGATCTTCCGTATCCCCAGTGGGCTGTCTGTTTACAGAATTACACCATCGGTACTGACCGACGACTTGAAGTGATTGAGAAGTAATAGAGTCACATGATGTGTCGCCGAGGCGTCAGAAGTGGGGGGAGAGCACGGAGCGTTCTCGTCCACAATGGAACTTCGAGTTGATTTGACAAAGCCCCTGCGCGCATGCTACAACTCTAAGTAACCCAAAGAATCTTATAATCGATGGATAGATGCACATGCCGTGTACGTCCTCAAGTTATTCTACTTTCACTTACTTCGAGTTGATCATTATCCTTCCTGCAGTGCACGCGAAAGTTTAAAATATCATCAGAGCTTTCGCCGTCACATCAATACGTACCCCAACAGCCGAAATTCACAATTACACCACTACAATCCCCAAAAACACACGCCAAGTACTCCTCATCTACCATCACCCAACTACTACCTCGCGAATCAACCAGTACCTCCCCCCTCCGCTACATTCTGCCGTGTCCCCTCTACCTCGACATTCTCCCGCTCCCACGCCCTCACTGCATCCCCACCGCTGTAGCAGTCAGGCACGCCAAAACCCTGAATCATGCGTCATGATTCATGCTCGTTCTTATGCCTTCAACAAGGCGAAATCGACTCTATGGAGCACATTTTAACTAAGTGTGAATGTGTAGGTCAGGAGTTAGTATGGGAATCAATCCGTAATATGTGGAAAAATAGGATGAACGTTATGTTCCCAGAGCAGTGCATGGGCTCCATTCTTGGAAGCCCCATATCAGTAATTAAGGATGAGGACGGGAGGCCATCTCAAGGACTAACGCGTCTATATAGACTAGTAGTAACGGAGGCAGCTTCCTTCGTATGGGCCATAAGATGTGAAAGAGTAATAAGAAATGGCGATGAACCACATTGTAGGGTAGAGGTTGCAAATAGATGGACTGCAGCCCTGGGCAGAAGGGCGGAGCTAGACTTCAAACTGACGAATAGGAAACTGGGGAAGAAATCAATCCCCATATCTCAAGTGCTAGATACTTGGATTGGCACGTGCGTAATCGATACTAGCAAATGGCAAGAGTCACAGATGGTGACATCATGCGGGGTTTTAGTGGGTAGTAGCCAGGATTCAAGAGCTGGTATAGGATAGAGGAGCTGAGTCCCACATACGTGCGTAAAGGCATTTCCTCGCGGAGCCAAAATAGATGCTGCCCAGTAGGGAACCTGGTTTTGATCCCAGGTGAGCAGCCAGCAGGTGAGAGGAACACGCCAAGGGCGTAGTTCTTTCCCACTGTATTCGCTACTCCAACAAAAAAAAAAAAAAAAAAAAAAAACAAGACGAGCAACGCCATGGTCTGGATGTTCTGCATTGTAAGCTCATTGGATTGCCGGGTGATGATGCTAGCGGAATATAGATTCCGCCGTCAGCTCATCATGGGAGCGTAGACAAGGGATTCAAGAACGAGGAAGCAGAAGGCCAAAAGGTATATCGGTATGTGAATTGGAGGACAGCGGAGAGGACAGTGGGGATTAAAGAAGAGTTGCAACCGACAAGCCAGGAAGTGGGGGGAATTGTCCATCGGCCCGTTCTATCATTCCTTTCAAATCCTCCTTCTCTGCGGATGTAAAAATCAAAAAAAATTACCAAGTTCTACCTATCAAGGAGTGGTCAGTCCCATTATCACTCAATCATGCTCTGTCTCTTGTCTCTCTATCTAATCATAGATCTCAGGTTCCCCTCTTCAATCATTCCCCTATGTCCGCTACTCCTTCTTCCTTTTTGGTCCTTGATCTTTCCCCTGCCCATCTTTGCTTACTAAACATTCCATACTCGATCGAAGCATTCTTTCCTTAACAACATCCTCTAGCATCCTCAAACAAACTTACTCCTCGAGCCACCCACACCATTCTTGATCTGGCTCATGTATCAGGAAAGTTTCTGATAAAGATCTTCGGTTAACCGGTCCGAGGGCACTAAAAAAGGTTATTGGAAATACCGTCTGGCGTAACGGGCCGACAATTCATATACTTTGATTGTGTGAAAGATATCTGATATCCTATCCGTGTATGTTACCTTCACACGCCCAGTGCCATAAGCTACATCGATGGAGCAGAGTTCTTGAGTGTGTCTCAGTTGCCAGTTCAGGTATTGTCTGATTGGCAGTCTTCTTTAAAAACTCAAGAACCCATGAAAGAGCGAGCAAAGATCTTTCTAGGATGGAAAGTGGCTTGGCTGAATCTGTCTTTTTCCTGCCTGATACTCTTGCAAATTGGCCCTGGACATGTACTATTAGTCCCTTCTACCTCCAGGCTCAAGCAGATTCATCGGCATGGATTCAAAGTTTCAAAATATTCACTGCTGGGGAACAGCGAGCATTTGATCTATGCAATTTTAGTGAGTTTACTGTTTGATATCGCTGCTCTTCCAGTATATGGTCTTGAATATCACTCATTAGACTTGCTCGCTTCCCTCAGATATCCTCTGGAAAACCAAGGTTTGCTCTTCCTTATATTCACTCTTCCTGACAGGGATTCTCAATGTATATTTTGGTATACAGACATTATTCGTGCAGGCACTGATCTCATGGGCCTGTTTGCTGTATTTGATCAGTACACTGATGTTGCAGCACCCCGTGAAGCTCAGGAAATGGCTGATATGGTCATGGATGCAATACGCAATCCAGACAAAGCAAGGCCAGCTAATGAATGTGTTGTAGGCGAGGTTGCTAGACAGTAAGGTCTCAGAAAGCTCTATCCTTTGACATCTAATCGTCTTTGTGTCTTGACTTAGATTTTGGAAGCTATCAATGCAATATGCATCCGAAGGAGCAAGTCATCGGTTTATCGGGTCTTTTAATGAATATACTGCCTCAGTTGTTCAACAAGCTGAGGATCGTGCCCAAAGTTACATTAGGAGCATTGACGAGTATTTCCTTGTTCGGAGAAAGACAGTTGGTGTAAAACCATCGCTCGCGCTTCTTCAAGCTGGACTCAATCTCCCAGACGATGTCTTGGACGATCCCATCATCGAACGTCTTACCGATGCCTATATTGACATGATTATCCTTGATAATGTAAAACTTTCTTTTGGCTTCTATTTCTACTCTTGTGCTGAAAACGAAACTAGGATTTATTTTCTTACAACGTTGAGCAAGCTCGTGGAGATCCTGGTCACAATATTATCACTATTGTGATGCATCAAAAGAAGATTGGTCTGAGTAAAGCAGTGAATTGGATCGGCGATCATCATTCAGAACTTGGACGGCAGTTTTAGACTTGAAACATGTCCCACATTTTGACAAAACAATTGAGCAAGATGTGAAGCATTATCTTGGTAATTGGGTCAGGGCAAATGAATGTTGGAGCTTCGAGAGTCATAGATACTTTGGGATGAGTGGGAGGGAAGTACAGCAAAGCAGAAAAGTTGTCCTGCTTCCGTGGTCAGCCCAAATTTGCAGTACAAAGATATGAAGTAGACAAACTGAAGTACTGATTGCTTTTTAAATGATGTTCATCCATGACCGAATTTCTCTGTGTGCTTAGCCAATTGTTCATATTAAATAGCATACAAAGGTTGTGTTGTCCTTAGGTATTTAAATAAGTACATAAATCTTAGGCCTCCTGCATGCATGAATTAGAGACATACTTCTTTCCCAGGAACTAAATAAGAATGATGTGTCAGATTAGATATCACAATAAGGGAAAGGGGGGCCATGTTGTTGGAAAAATAACCAAACTCGAGTGGGTGAGAATCTGCTATGTTCAGTTGAAAGAAATAGTTGAAAGGAGTTAATCAATTCTGAGGATTTGAAAAAAATTTGAATATGTTTGGAGTAAGGACATAGTTTCAAGGGATAGGACGCATT